GCCTTACTCTTTTGATTATATTGCAATTATAACATCTTGGTTATACAACATCTAAACATGATGAATGTAATGGACTGCAGAGAAAATATTTTGTATATAGAACTGTAGGAATAATGCATGTAACAAGATTGAGTTTCATGATTCTTACCTCTGCTTCTTGATCTGGTCTGGATGATGGGAAGTAGCAGCAGCAATGCAAGCACTGGAGCCAGCAGCAAAGCTCAGAGCAAGACTTACCTTCAGCATCTGCAGACTTGAAACCAGTACTGGACTAGGAGCAGGGGAGCATCCTGTTGGGATCTCTCACGCTTTGGGCAATGGAGCAAGCAGGGTCCCAGGCTACTGATACATCAACATTTTTCACTGTCACTCTGCCTGAATCTCTTGTGAATCTTTGGAAGGCAAAGCTGAAGATGTTTCAGAGAACTTCACGCACTGCAAAGAAGAGAAAACTTTCATCATGAGTACTTATCCGAAGGAATCCACACTGCATTGCTTCCTGTTCCTGATGGGCTTAGTTTCTTTTCTAAAAAAACATTCTTAGTCTATCTTCACAAGTTATGACTCTTATAAGAAGAGCAACCTTCTCAATTTTTATTGGAATACAATAGACATTATAGCTGTTACCAAACATGAAATATAATATACATTAAATTAACACACAATTGTCCCATTTTGGGGGAACTACACAGGCAAGCTAGTTGCTGTAACTGCACACAAAGCACACAGCTCTCTTACAGAGAGTATTAAATCAGTTAGCCTTCAAGAACAGGAAACTACATAGGTCACTCCAAAAGTAGTGCCTCCTGTTTACTTCCATGAAAACTACAACAGACACAAAAAAAGCACCATAGCACTATTTGATAGAGCAAATTCTCAGCTACAAAATACCATTTTTCAACACAGTCACCACCATTAGCTGTGCACTTTCGTCAGGGACAAAGAAGAGCTCAGAACAATCTGCATGGCTGCCTGGGAGGTGGCATGTACAGGTGTAAAGGAAGCTGTGTTTAGCCTAGAACAATATGTTAGTTTGGAGCAAAGCAAAGCATTTTCTCAAGCTGTAGAAAGTGCATATTGTCAGTGGCCAGCAGATTTTGTTTGCTTTCATGCTGAAGATTTAGGCTTCAAGCTGAGTCTCTTTAAACTGGAGAGGAGAGCTTGTGGTAAAAGAACGAAGAACTTGCCAGTGAATCAGTGCAACATCATTACCATCTAGACTTGGAAAATCATCCATCATCCAGCAGCAGCCAACACAAGCTGAAATTTACCAAGCTCTGTCTACATACATTCTGGTGAACAGACACCTTCCCTCCTAGCTCTGAGTGGACTGAAAACAGATGGTCATAAATAAACAAACACAGCCCCAGAAAACCTTGTTTCCCTCTTAGCAGTTCCACTCTGAGCACTGAGCAGCCCTTGCTGGGAATTGTGCTGTGGCATCACTGCTGCAGGTGAGTGTGGGATGTACTCCAGAAATCCCTTCTTAAAGTAGTGAAATACCACCTACTTTCGTTTCATGCAAATTATTCATCTTGTTTGATTATCTATTATTAAGCAGCTATCGTTGCCCACCTGTGAGACAGTAATAAGCACGACTTATTGTACCCTTACTCAGTTTTGTTTCACCTGCCTGTCAGTGAGCTCTCATTTGCTGTTTGTCTTGATGTGTGTTTGTGCTGTCGCTACAGAACTGAAATCAGCTGAGATGATTTAATTGTGGGATATGCAAGCTGAGGGTGATCATTACAGACAGCTCAGGTAACCACCTCTAAAGCCCCATCCAGCACGACAAACCTGATATGAAACACTGTCATTAACAATGACAACAAATACCTGTGACATAGTAACTGTTGTTGTTTATATCAAACACTTCCACATGGGGAAAGGAAAAAAAAAAAGACAAATACAGATGCTATGAATAACTGAATAACTTGGAACAGATCACCAGTATAATGCAGCATCAATAGCAGCAGCAAATCTCAGCTCCCAGATTCCCAAGCCTTTCTGCACACTGCACAGCCAACCCATCCACCACTCCCTGCATGAGCTGCTCCCTGCTCGCTGCTGGATGAGCCTCATCCAACACTGCTACACAATCACCTTCACAATGCTGCCTGTTTAATGAGACTGTACTGGATGAACCAACCTGTAAATAATGTAAAGAAAGCAGGTTTTGATATTTATAGTTATCATGAAGAATTTAGTGATGACAGTAGAGTGTACCCTAGACATTAATTTCATTAGATATAAATTACACTAGTATGACATTGATATATTGTAATTAAAACTAATGATCCATTGATTCTCATCCAGAAATTCAGTTAAGATGACAAATATTCTTCTATTATAGACCAACGAATAAATATTAAAAGCATACAAAAGTCCAGGAGGCAAATTCTGCTTTCATTTATGCCAAGATTCATATTCCAGTGAAGTTACTGAAGCTAGGGCTATGGCATGAATAAAATGAGAGGCTGTGGTGTTTGGGAAGCACGCTCTCAGAAGCAGAATAGGGGCAGGGAGCTGGAGGATGGCTCCGGTTTCACCACAAGAGCTTTCTGAGGAGGTCTAAGCTACGAAGAGGAAATCTCTGCTGCCCCTCACCCAAATTCACTGATACCCACCTGGAGCCACTGTGGGTCAGACACAGCCAGATGTGAGGAGGAAGGGCTGTTACCTGAGTATTTTCTCAAAAGCAATTCCAGCAGCTGTGTCTAAGACTCCTACAAGAGCACATCAGCTCTGGGTGAAAACGCAGCTGATGGCTCCCCAGGAGCAGCACTACTGATGCACAAATGCTCGGCCACAGCATCAGAACGAAATGCAAGAGAACAAAAGCCATGAATCTGAACCAAGCACTGCTGGTTTCAGTGTCACTCAGGACAAAACACAACACGTTCCTCTTTCCTCCTGGATCAAAGGCTACTGAAGTCTCACAGGTGCTGTACAAACATTCCCATCCCTTGCTTTTACCCATCTGCTTCTGCCACACGATTTTCCTACAGTAAGGCCTTCAAAAGTGTGCCATTCTTTTCATCATAAAAACTGAAGATAATTTCTTCTTGAAGCTTAGACCTGCCAGATGCCAACAAAACAAATTTTAGATTTGTTAATTTTGAATTTTTAGAAATATCTGTATTGACCTGTGTAGGTGTATGAATGGACGTAGGCTGACATTCAGAACCACCCAACCCTTTGTTTAAAGCATCCGACTGCCCAAGGTGGTCACAAAGTGGGTGAAGCTTTATCTACTTACACACCTGAGAGAGATGTTCAATCTGCTGTTCAGTGAGACAGCACTTGCCTGACCAGACAAAACTTAGATTTGGTAAAAAGGGTTCAAATCAACCATCTTTAGAGCACGCAGGAGCAGCTCATTTAGGAGCCTACTTCTCCCATTAGTTACACCAGCTAAGCTGCACATCAACGTTACACATCTTTAGACAACAAATGACCCTCTTCTCCATCTGCTTGCACTCAAACACACGGCGTTTCTCCCCTCTGTAACTCCAGACAAGAACATTTCCTCATTTCACCCTCTTTTTGGTTGACCCAGCAACTACTTCCCACACATTTTAAAGTGCACCCACCATTGCTTTGGCAATCCAAACATTGAGTATGTGATAAGATATGTGGGAACAGCAATAACCCATAAAGCCTGGACCTGAGACAGACAGCAGATGTATCAGAGATGTGCAGGGCAGTTCCTGAGAGGTGGAATACATATGTAACTTAATTAAGCATTTTCCTGCAGGCCTAAGTAATTCATTGGGCCAACAGATACTGTATTTAGGAGGGTGCATGTTTAATTTACAAATTAGTGGATTATAGTAATATGCATAACAACATATTAAATGAAGTATTAATGTAATACAACCCAAACGACACATGATAAACCATATAAGCATATATACAAACTTGATTTAATACGTTAGCTTCCTTTGCCCTCTGTCAGTCTGATTGCCTTTGCATAATCCATGTTCCTAATTATCCCCCAGTATGCCTTGCATATAAATAGCTAATTAGATGGTGTCCCTGTCAGCTATGAAGTATGTAATATCTGGAAAAAATACTCCTTTAGAAATTTAATTTAGGATAACAGATTGTGCCATCTAACCAAAGAATTAAAGCTTTCAGTTTACTAAGATGTTTGTGCATTTAACATCAACTTCATACTATTATATTAGTGCCTCAAAATGCGTCCAGTAATTTTGTTCTTAAAAAAAATAATTAAAAATTGTCCTGTCAAAAGTACGTACAGTAATTACAGCAAGTTGCTTAAGACCTAAATATTACCTCACACAACACGATCTGACATGTGCATCCATTCTCCATTAAATACATGCCAATGGAGGGATGCTGGGATGCAGCTCAGGGAAGCGCTGCACCAAGGCAGCTCAGCGGCTGCACAGCACTGCAATCCTCCTGCTCACAGGTGGACGCTCCTGGGAAGGGCACTGGGCTTCTGAGGCTGCTGGATGGCAAGGTTTGCACATCACATCATTGTGCACCAGGCGCTTTTCTCTCATCTTGCCTTGAAACTGGCTGTTTCAAGCCATTAACTCCAACGTACACAGCACGCTTCCAAGACTTTCCCTCACTTTTAGCAAAGAGGAAAGCAGGAAGCCTTGCTGACCACCCTTTTTCACACATTACTGCATTCTTTAAGTTCTTCACAAACTCTTGTGTTGTTTTTTTTTTTCCTCCAAGCCTTTAGTGGGCTTCACTCCAATTTATTTAATTTGACAAAGTAAAAACAAGCCCAAATACACAGCTGTATGTAAAAAGCTGGCTACAACAGTCACCTTCCCTTCCTCTGCTGCAAGAAGCCAATATTAAGAAGGTAAAGGTTAGAAGGAATAAAGGGGGAGTGCCATAGGGCTGCAAGCAGCAGTGTGGCAGGGCAGATGGATGCCTGAATACCTTGCTGCCCTCCTCTCATACAGCTAAGGTTTTCATAGTCATATACTACATTCAAACAACTTCCCTCTTTCATCCCTGTGGCATAGATGTTCTTCAGGTTTAAAATTCATTCCTTCATATAACAGCTGTTTCATCTGAAGGAAGTGTAAGTGTCTTCATAAAGGTATAGAACATAGAAAACAGTAAAGTTAGAATGAATTAAGAAATGGCCATGTGTACCTCTCCCAAAATTAGCAGATTGCACACTTTTCTCTAAGTTAATCATTAATACTATACAACAGTTTAAAAAAAGCAACACATTAGGTTTCTCTTTCAGTTCTTTTGTGTCCAGTAGATAGTATCGATGGGTATTTTCCAGATCCAGGTTATCATGCCAGGAATGAGCCCAAGGGGACAAGAGAAGTTGGAACATTGTGCTCTGTGACTTGCACACAGCAGGCCTCATTCATCCCTCATGCAACCAAAGTACACACGCAGCTTGGTGCGTTCTGCTGCGTGTGTTATATAAC